CTTGTCCTGCGACCAGACCCCGGCGCTGGTGCCGTAGTCCACGGGCGACTTCATCTCGGCCACGCCGCAGAAGTGGCCGCTGCCGTTGACGCTGAAGAGCAGGTAGACGGGCCCCTTGCTGCCCACGGAGCGGAAGGCGCCGTCCAGCCGCTTGTTGCCGTGCTCGGTGCTGCACCAGACGGAGTACTTGATGGAGCGGTGCACGTCGTCCTCCGAGTAGCTCTTGATGATGAACACGCGGCCGCCGCGCAGGTTCCAGTCGAACTCCTTGGGGTTGTAGCCGTGCGCGGCCTTCAGCTTCTCCAGCACCGGGTGGGGCTCCGCGCTCGGGGCCGGGCCGGGCGGGGCGCCCCCGGGGGCGTGCCCATCGCCCCCGGTCCCCAGGCCCTGCCCGAACACGGCGCCCCGGTTGCGTGGGGCCACCCAGCGGGCCTGGGGCAGCGGCTGCGGGCTCTGGTACTGCGGCGGCGGCGCCAGCGGGGGCGGCGGGGCCGGCAGAGGCGGCACGACCGGCGGAGGCGGGAGGACGGGCGGGGGGGCCGGGGCCGGCGGGGGGGCCGGGGCCTTGGGCGCGGGCCCCTTGCTGTCCCAGGTGCCGATGTCCATGTTATGCTTGATGGGCGGCGGGGGCAGCGCGGCCCCCAGGACGGGGCCACCCTTGGCTCTCGCTTTGGGCTGCGGCTTCGCGGGCTTGCTGGCGATGGCGGCCCAGGAGGTCGGCTTCGAGACCGGCACGCTCACGTTCGTCCCGCCGCCGCCGGACAGCACCCCGGTCATCGCCACGCTGCTGACGACCGAGCCCACCGTCTTGACCGCGGAGGAGGTGACGTCGCCGATCTTCAGGCCCACCATGCCCTGCTCCAGGCTGTTCATCCCGGGGGCCTTGCTGAGGGTGTCGCCGTGGAAGCCCGCCTGCCCGTCCACCAGCGTGCCGCCCAGGGAGCTCGGCGGGTAGGGGTAGCTGCCCCCGTAGGCGGGGCTCTGGGCCTGCTGCCCCTGAGACCCGCTGGCGCCCCAGGCCGAGAAGGCGGGGTTCTCGGGGAAGAAATTAAACCGGTGCGGGTAGATGCTGCTGCCCAGGCCCCCGGGCTGCCCGAACACGGCGTCGTGCATGAAGTGATGGTCGCCGTTGCTGAGCTGTCCATAGGTGGTGAGGTACGGGATGGGAGGGTCCCCTCCGGTCGACCACGGCGCCTCGTTGAGGGAGTACGGGAACCCGATGGACGGTGGGTAGTAGCTGGGCAGGTAGGGGTCGGCCATGGAGGGGTAGCTGTTGCTCTGCGGGACGAGAGGGACGCGTCAGGCTGCTCTCCCGGCCGGGGAGACCCCGCCGGCCGGCCCCCACCGTCCAGCCCCCACCGCCAGCAGCACCGTCCGCGGGCACCCGACTCGCTCCCGGGAACGTGCCGCCCTGAGCAGGAAGGAGCTGCAGAGGTGACCCCACGTGGTGCATGTGGGGCTGCCAGCCACTGCACAGCCTCCCACTCTGCCTCCCTCAAGCGGCGGTCCCTGAACTCACGAGGAACTGAGTCACCCCAGGCGCCCCCCCCCCACCCTCGGTGCGAGGTGGGCCGCAGCCTGCCAGCGCCAAGTGCAGACACGGAGAGGCCCCGGCTCAGCCAGCAGCAGCTCCCCAGACAGCACCTGGTCAGGTGACTCCACCCAGACGCACCTGGGCAGGGCCCCTGTGACCACCCATGTGCCCTCCCCGCATGGTGCCCATGGAGTCCGTTCACCAGGAGACGGTGGGACGGTGCCGGTGAGGACACGCGGCCCCGACCCTGCTTTCAGTGCCGGGAGGCCTGTGTCCTAGGGGGGAGGCCACCACAGCTGGCCGTCACTGGAGCGCTGCTGCTGCTGCTGCAGCCTCCGGGGCCGGTCGGCCCACACCGGGGACGGTGCTCATGGCACAGCCAGCCTCCTGGCCTAGAGACGCCGCCCCGCGTGCTGGGCTCTGCTGGCCGCCCTGCGACTCGGTCAACGGCAAACCAAACGAATCTCATGCTGCCAATGACGGTCACCACAGACCTTCTTCGGAAAGACAATCGGTCAGATTCGGTAGAGCTACACATCTATTCTAGGGTGGAGTCTTTCATACTTACCAAAGTCTAACCACAGTACAAAAAGCAAAAAAACTCTCATCCTGAATGACCAGAACCGTCTATTTAAGGTTGAAACCTCTGCTTCCTACACCCGCTCTTCCGAGCAGGAAGGAATTCCGCAATCAGCCAAGGCTGCAACGTCACAGACAACACAGTGACTCAGTCGCCAGCGACCGAGAGCAGGGACCACAGGGAGGCAGGGGGCCCTCAGAGCCCAGGGGGCGGAATGTGTCTGGACTGGGCTGGGAGGTGCTTACTTAAACAGACAGCAAAAACAACCTTGGAAAAATTAGGTAAAAAGGAAGAGTCGGGGCTATTCACAAGGAGCCTCTGGGGCAAGGGCCTTCCCCCCGGCCCCCCCAGGGCGACCCAGCTGTGACCATGCCACTGACCATAGCGGCCACCTGTAGGTCTAGAAACGAAGCCCCGAGGACCACGAAAGCTCCACCTCCTGGAAACACCTCCCAGGTGTAGCGAGGTCCCCTCCTTTCGGTTAAGGTTGACACACGAAACACTGCTACAGCACTTGCGTCACCCAGGAAATAGCAAGGTGGTCAAAAACAAGCCCCTTCCCTTCCTGCCACCACCTCTGCTGGAGCCCGAAGCCAGGCCAGCCCAGCTCCGCAGCACCTGGTCCTCCGGTGGGGGGGCCCTGCCGCCCCGCAGTGCCGCGGGGCGGGGGAAGGCCCGAGACGCCTGGCAGAGGGCAGACTGGCCACATTCCACCACCGGGGGAGGCAGAGCCGGCCTCTACTCCAAAGCCCACGAGCCCGGTGCGTTTTAAAAGTGGCACAGCCCTGGCTGGTGGGGCTCAGTGGACGGAGCGCCAGACTGCAAACCGAAGGGTCACCAGTTCGCTTCCCAGTCAGGGCGCGCACCCACATTGCGGGGACAGGTCCCCAGCTGGGGCGCTCCAGAGGCAACCAATCAGTATTTCTCTTTCTCTCTCCCTTCCCTTTACACTAGAAACAAGTAAACTAAACCTTAAAAAACAAGTGGTACACAGTATAGACATTTAGACATTAGGCCTACACTCCAACTACCCCAAATGAGTTTACCCTAGGCAACTCACCCCCCAGGACACACTTCTGGCTGCCCCCCCCCGTCAGGGGGACAGTCGCTCATGGCATCTGGCAGAAGAGCGCCGGGGGGCTGCTGAACTCGCCACGTCACCCAATGAGAAGTGCTGCCAGAAACCCCCACGAAAGCCAGGTGGCCCTGACTCACGGGGCCCTGCCTCCGGCACGGTCTCCGCGCTCTCCGGGGCACCTCGCGCCCTCCCCGCCACGCCTGAGAGCCCCCCTCACTGTCCACCTCACAGAAGAGGGGATGGGCGCAGCAGGCCCGCTGTCCGAGGAAGCGGCCGTCCACAGCAGAGGCGAGAGTCAGCCCGAGGCAGGGGCTGGGCCCCAGAGCCGGGCGCTGAGCTGCCTGCAGACGCCAGCCCGGGGCGGCGCCCCCTGCCCCCCCCCCAGGAGCCCAGCTTTGCCGCAGCCACGCCCAGCGCCGGATCGGCAACCAGTCTCCTGTCTCCGAACTCCACAGCCGGCGGGCGCTTCATTGCTCCGAGCAGCCGAGTCAGCACCCGGCGGCAAGGGCAGGTGACAAACCCGGTGGGAACACGGCAGAAGCAAATGCCGCGGGTGAGCTCACCTGGTTGGACTGCCCAGACAGGTAGGGCTCGAAGTCATGGTCGTGAACCGTGTCCTTCTGATGCAGAGAACCATTTTGCACTAGAATAAGCAGTACAGTCATGGATGAGTTTTTAAAACACATTTTAAGCGTGGGATTAACAGCAGTAAACCCTACACCCATTAATTTCTGGTAAAGAGTGCTTCTGTGTACAAACGGACGTGAGCAGCACAGGACCGACCTGCGCACATCTGACCAGAACTTCCGGGAACGAGGCTCTGTGTCCCGGAAGGGTCCCGCCAGTGCGGGCAGGTGAGGACGACACAGAGGCGGCTGCGACACCGCAGGGCCTGCACCCAGGTCCCGGGGACGGGAGGGGGGCCAGCTCCAGCGCAGCCGGGAAGCGACCGGCCAAGGCCCCACGCACGCCTGCTCGCTCTGGCCTGGCTGTGGGTGCACTTTCCACAGTCACAGGCTCGGCCAGGACAGGGAAGGAAAGGTAAACACAGCGCTGGGCCTTGTCCAACCGAAAACACGATGAACCATATTTGGTTACGCCCAGCCCACACGGACTGCCTGAAAACAGCCTCGCGAGTCCACACCGAGGGTCACGTACAGGTTCTCACAAAGCGAGTTCTGGGGTTCACTCCAGGCCAGAATGCCGCTAGGGGACCCGAGGCTTCCAGGACACAGGCTGTGAGCGCCCGCGTCCTCCACCCAGTGCCGCCCCGGACTCGCACCTGGGCCCCGTGGCTCCCTCCCCGCCCGGCCAAACGACCCCCTGGCGGTCCCCCCACCCACGAAGAGCCCCTGCTTCCCACCTGTCAGGTCTCCCCACACGTTCCGTCTCCCCCGAAGCCCAGGAGGAAGTAGTCCCTTCTGACGCTGCTTCCCAGACCCTCCCTCTGCCTGCCCCCCGCCAGGGTGCCCACGCCGCCACCTCCCGCTCCCGGCCGCGCTCCAGGCCTGCGCAGGCCGCCCGAGGCCGCTCACCTTTATTATCTTGTCCTTTGCTTCTCTGCACCGCCGCGGGCAGGGACGAGCGAGCGGACACACCCGGAGGAAGGGGAAACGCGAAGTTATTGGCCAGCACCCCTCCCAGGCCGCGGCGCGCTCCAGGGCGAACGGGCCCCGCGGCGCCACGCGACTCCGCCCCAGGCTGCGATCCCGCGACGCCGGCCCCCGACCTCGCGACCCCGGACCCCAGCTCCGCGACCCCGGGCCGGCCTGCTACCTGGGGGTCCACGCTGGTAGCCGACATGCTTCATGAACAGCCGGCGCGGCGCGGGGCCGGGACGCCTGCCGGCTCGGGCCTCCCGCGAGGCCGGGCCTGTCACCCGGGCTCTCGCGGTCCCGGGCCCGCCGCCCCCTCCCCGGGCGCCGGCCGGGCGGCGGCGGCTGGTGGGCGCGCGGGCCGCTCGCGAGGCGCGACGCTGCGCTGTGAACAGGAACCGCACACACGGACGATGGGCCGACTCCAATGGCGGCGGCGGCGGCGGCGGCGGCGGAGACGAGGTTGCGCGACGTCAGCGCGCGCGGGGCAGGCCGGGAGCGGCGATGAGCCGCCACGCACCGCGCCTGCGCCCTGCAGCCCGGCGGGACGAATATTGCGCCGGGGTCCCAGACTGGCGCGGTGTGGGCGGGGTCAGGGGCGGGACGAGCCCAGGAAGTCACATGGGCGGCGGCGAAGCGCTGCCGTTCCCGGGAGGCTTCCCCGACGGCACTCCCAGGCTTATTTCCGAGTTGTGAAGCAGCGGAGCCGGCGACTGCGGCTCGCTACTTAATGCCACCTGCACAAGCCGGAGCCCAGTCTGCCCTGCAGCTCGCCCCAAACGCCCCAACATCCCTCGTCGGGGCGCCGAGGGTGTGAACTCTGGGCGCTCGCGCCGTAGTCCAGGGCTGCCTGAGGCTGGTTTGTGGCCCAGTCTCCTGGGGCAGCTGCGCCCCGGAAGCCCGGGGCTCCGGTGTTCCCGGGGGTGCTGCTTTCCCAGCTCTCTCTTGGGTCTCCAAGGGGCTCCGCAGTTTATATCCAGTTTGCTCGTAAAGTTCTTGCGCGGGTATTTCCCTCCAGGGGAGGGTCCTTCCGGCCTCTTCCAGCTTCTGGTGGCCCCGGGCGTCCTTCGTGTTCCTTGGCACTGTGCCTCCCTTGTCACGTGGTCTTTTCACTTCACTGGATGTAGGGCCTGCCCTGGCTCGGTATGATCTCACTTTAATAACTTCATTCTATCTGCAAAGATCCTGTTTCTACATAAGGGCCCATTCCCAGGCGCATGAACTTGAGGGACACTCTTCAGCCCAGTGCAAGGACCAGAGATGATGTCAAACGGAAACTTTGGAGAGCATTTTAGGTTCCACCCACAATGGGGAAGGAGAGGCCCCCCAAAACGAGGGGACCGAGGCGCACTCCCGAAAGCTGCTGGCTAGGGAAGGGCAGGCAGGATCTGAGAGCCACCCCAGGCCCGCCAGAGCAGAGGGCGGTGTGGGCCCCAGCCAGCAGGGAATGTATGGGCCCCAAAGTGGCTTAGTGCAGGGACTGTGCATGGGTCCCGTGAAGGGGTGGGAGAAGCTGCTCCATCCTCACCCTCCCAGCCCAGCTGGGGCCAGGAGGTCTGGCCCTGCAGGCTGGGAGCACAGCAGCTCCTGGCCCAGGGAGGGGTGTGGAGGCCACAGGCTCTGGAAGACCACAGGAACCCCTGGGGTGGGGTGGCCTGGCTCCGGGTTCGTGCCAGGGCCAGCAGGCTCTCAGCTCTGCCCGGGACACCCTGCTGCTGCCCTCTCCACCCTCTCCCCTGTTCATTCTCTTCCCCCCTGGACATGCTGAGTACATGTAGGCACGTAGCACAGGGGGTCCCCCACAAGTCAAAGCTAATTGGAGGCTGGGGGACTTCAACCAGCTCCTGGTGCCCAGGTGGCCGGGCTCCCCAGAGCTGTGCCCCTTCTTCGGGGCTCCCCCCGGGGCCCGCTGCCCCCAGTGCTGGCCCATGGCCCAGCAGATGCACCCTCACTGCATGCCCTAACTCTGCTTTGCTAAGGGCACCTTCTGCCTCAGCACAAACTGTCCTCTGTGCCCAAAGACCGTCTGAGGCCCAGAAGTCTCCAGGGTGTGGGAGCAGGATGCGGACACGCCTGCCTGTGGCCCACGCAGCAGCCGGAATAGGGTTGCTTGGCAGCCCCTCCCTGCTCAGGTGGTGCCAACCTTGGCAATGAGAGGGGCCTTGGCACCTGCTGCAAAACCGCCTGCAACTGCTCCGGGGGCAGAGGTGCCTCCCCTGGCAGCCGGGACGGAGGCCCAGCGGGACGGCCGCCACAGCCTGGTCCGGGGGCCTTGTTCCCCCTCTGCCCGCTCTCTCCAGCCCGGTCCTGGAGTTCACCATTTCCTGCTTGACGTCACAGTCCCCCAAGCAGCTGTGCTGAAAGGGAGGCGCAGACCCTTCACGGACACTCCCAGACCCACCCCCGGGACTCGGCAGCACCTCTTGTGCTCACACCCAGGGCCCCGCTGGGGTGAGGGGTGGCAACAGTCACGGGGGGTGGACGGCACTGAGAATAGTTCCTCAGTACAGAGGGCCCCCACACCCCCAAACCATGCCGCATTGCCCCGCGGGAAGCCACTGTACAAAACACAAGAGGGAAGGCAAGAGCGTCAAGGAGGCAAGGTGGGGACAGCAGAGTGTCGGGCCCCAAGCGGTCAGCCGCCAGGCGGGGAGCTGCAACACCCCAGGGCACACACAAGGGGCGGGGCTGGGTACTGCGCCCGCCGTCCCCACCCCCTTCAGCTGGTGCCACCCGGTCTTGCTGCTCCAGAAGCCCAAGCCCGAAGCTTCGTCCTGGGCCCCTACCGGGCTCCCTGATGCCCTCGGTGCCCTGCGCCACGGGAAGGCATGCTCCTGGGTCCCACCCTTTGCCAGGACTTCCTGCCGGAAACCCGGCGGCTTTGGGCCCCAGACAGGAGAGTGTTCTGGGGACTCACTGGAACCCTGGCAACATCGGGGCAGAGCGGGTGGTGTAGCCGAGAGGGGGACAGCGATGGGGTCTTGAGCAGGGTGAGGTGGCAGCCCCCGCCCCCACCCCCGCACCCGTGGGAGTGAGGGGCAACCTCGGCCCCTTGCTGCGGGCTGGTGTACAGGAGGGCGGGCCCAGCCTTTGGTCTGTGCAGGTGGGAGATGAGTGAGAGCCTTGGGGGCAGGCCCTTGGAGCCCGGGGGCACACCGTGGCGGGGGGGGGGGGCGGGGGGCTCCAGTCCCGGTGAGCAGCCCCTTCCTCCAGCTCCATCCTGCCTGCCAGGGCCTGGGAACCTTGTCCCCCCTTAACCTGGTTCCTCTTTTATTGTTCATGAACTTGTCTTTGAAAGGCCGAGGCACCGGGCTCGGGCGGGGACCGCGAGGAAAACAAGGCCAATGAGCCCAGGGAGGAGGTTCATCCCTGGGAGTGGCTACGGGACCTGCCCGCACCGTCCAGGCTTCCTCCATCCCTTCCACCCAGAGCCTTTGTGACCCTGGGGCCCTGCCCTACCCTCCCAGGAGCTCTGGCTCCCCTCAAGTTCCATCCCGTGGTCCCCACCTGTTGGGACCGTGGGGGACACCGGGGTCCCTGGGCTTGGGCTGACTGATGGAGCCCGAGTGGCTGTGGCCAGGTTTGAGGGAAGCTGCTCCGGGCAAGGGTGCACCCCACGTGGCCAGCAGCTCTGACCTGCGCCTGGAGAAGCGCCAGCCCCACACCCAGGCCCCCCCGCCCCAGCCAGGAGCCAGGGCTCCGACCTTGAAATGGACCCAGCCCCAAAGACCCTCCCCAAGGCCTGGGGAGGTGAAGGAGGGAGCTGCCAGCACAGGCCCAGCCCCTCCCCAAGCCGAGACCCTCGGGGAGGGTGGGGCTCCCACCACTCCCTCTTCTCGCCCTTCCCTCCGGAGGCCCCCTGTCCCCCCTGGCCCCAGGTTCAGAGCAGGAGGCGTCAGGGGTCACAGCTCCAGGCCTCCCCTCCCCTAGACACCCCTGCGTCCAGGGCCACCCTGGGACAGGGTGGCACCCTCCCTCCAGGGCGGCAGAGCTCAGATCTTCTGGAACCTTCTCCCTCTAGAAACTGCCTCTGGCGCCAGGCCCGGAATTCCAAACTCACAAACTCATCACTGGTCCTCCCCCTCCCCACCCACCGGAGGTCCTGGGGCCAGTGCCAGCCCTCCACCGCCTTGAGGGGTCTCCTGCTCTGTGCCCCACCCAGTCCTGCAGACACCACCTTCCCCGTGGAGTGGAGGGGGCCGGCCACCCCCACAGCGGCCCCCGCCCCCCGGGCCCTGCCCCGGGCCCCATGACACACCCCTGGCACAGCAAGCGCGTGATGCTGGCTGCCACGCTGGCCCCTTCCAGAAGGCAGCGGGCCCCAGCGGGCCCCAGGGCCCCTGGCCCCTCCCTGACCTGGGCCTTCTTGGGGCCTGGACCGGGTCCACCCTCATCTCCCGGCTGCTTCAGGCAAAGGCCACCCCTGCCCCCAGGCAGGACCAGGCGCTCAGCAGCCCAGAGGCCGGCTGGCTGGGCACACTCCAGGACTGGCTGCCCGGGGTCCCCGTCACCGCAGCAGAACTGCTTGGGGCTGGTGTGTCCTCCATGGGGCCCGAGGGCAGGGCCCAGTGCTGGTGCTGCGGCCACGAGCGGAGCTGCTGGGCAGCTGGAGGCCGCCCCACCGGGGGACTCTGTGGACCCTGCTCCCAGTGTGGCCACGCCCCGGGCCGGGACCCCGGCGGCACCCCGTGGGCAGGCCAGGACAGCACGGACGGGCAGATCCTGGGCCAGCTGCGTGCCCTGGTGGAGGAGGGGGAGGAGGAGGGGGAGGAAGGGGCCTGGGCTGCCCCGTCCTCCAGGCCTGCCTTCCCCGAGATGGCCTCCGAGGAGCTGCGGCTGGCCTCCTTCTGTGACTGGCCGCTGACCGCCACCGTGCGGCCTGAGCTGCTGGCCGCCGCCGGCTTCTTCCACACGGGTGAGTCCTGGGACGCTGGCGCCCTGGGGCCCACCTCCCCCGAGGAGCCCGTGCCCCCCGGCAGGGGGGCCCCAGGCCTGAAGACGACAGGGCAGGGGGCCCGCTACCCTTCACACCTGTCTCCAGCCTGGAGTCTCCCCGGGGCGGGGGGCTTTAGACTGGGGGGACAAGTGCAGCTGGGGGGGCAGAGCAACAGAGGATAGCTGGACCCTGGTGGGGGTGGACGGAGGGGGCGCGGGGTTGGCCGGCGGTGGGACAGTTGGAGCCTGGAGACGGACGCCTGGGAGGCCCCTGGGTGCCCAGGGACAGACGCCCGAGGGACACGCCGGCCACCCCCACCCGCAGGACACGGCACCCGGGTGGAGGCGCCCCTCACACGCCCCCTGGGGACAGTGCGCTGCCTCCCACCCACGAATGCTCTCCCCGATGCTGGCGGGGGCCCGGTGTCATTGCACCATTTCACCTCCGAGAAACCAGGGCGCCTGTGAAGTCGGGGGGAATGTGGGGCCGGGGGGGGGCCTCTGTGAGCCCCCGCCCCATCAGGGAAGAGCCCCAGGAGCCCCTGACCCCGGCCTGGGGGGCATGCCCGGCCCAGGGGGAGACGGCTGCACGGGGGGAGGCCAGAATCATCTCTGTCCCCCCCCCCCCCCCCCCCCCCCGCCCAGGCCGACAGGATAAGGTGAGGTGCTTCTTCTGCTCTGGGGGTCTGCAGACCTGGGAGCGGGGGGACGACCCCTGGACTGAGCACGCCAAGTGGTTCCCGAGGTGAGGGCCCTGCGGGCGGCTCCGGGGCTCTGCATCCTGGGGGTGTCCCGTCTGAGGGATGGGGCCCCCTCTGTCTGGGGGTGGCGCTTGGCTGGTTGCTCCTTGACCCCCCACAGAGGCTGCTTCCCACACGGCCCCCTCGGCCGGCCGCGCTGTGGGGGGGGGGTGGGGGGGGGGGGCGGGGGCTGGGGGGGGCAGGGGGCAGGAACCCGACCTGAGGTGGGGGCCCTCCGCCAGCCGGGACCGCCCCTGCCCCCGGGGCTGCTGAGCTCCCTTTCCTCAGGTGTGGATTCCTGCTCCGGGCCAAAGGAAGGGACTTCGTCCGCAGCGTCCAGGGGTCCCTCCGCCCCCCGCCGGGCTCCTGGGTGAGCCCTGCCTCTCCTCCTCGGGCTGGGCGGTGTGGGTGGGCCGGGAGGGGCGCCCCCCCCAACTTGCTCCTCCGAGTGCTCAGGGCCCAGGTGCTCGCTGGTTCCTTTCAGGACCCGTGGGAGGAACCTGCAGACGCAGCCCCTGCCGCCTCAGGTGAGCCGCAGCACAGGGCCGCGGCCGCCCCTCGGGGTGGGCACCTGCGGGCTGCCCTGTGGCCCTGGCCACTGGGTGCCCCCTGATGCCCGACAGCAGGGAGGGTGTGGGCTGCCCGGCCGGGTGTGAGGGGGCTGGGCTGGCACTGTGTGTGTCCGGGGCCCCCGGCGAGGCCAGACCCAGGACAGGCGGTGGGAGTGTAGAGTGGGGAGGTGCTGTGTCCCGCTGGCCCCTGCAGCCGTGAGCCCCCGGGGGAGCTGGCTGCTCTGTGCCCCGCCCTCCACCCCTGTGCCCGGGCCTGACGGGGTGGGGAGCCAAGGGGTCCCGGGGCCCCAGGGTTCAGACCCCAGCCCCTCTGCTCCTAGAGTGGGTAGCTCTTGCTCCTTCGTCCTCTGAGCTTCCTGACCTGAGCCAGCAAGTGGGGACAGTGCCAGTCCCTCTGGGATTAAGCGGGTCCCACGTGACGCTCTGGGCGCGGTGCCTGGCACCCGAGGCTTTGCGGATCCGGTTCCTGGCTCTCCCCAGGGGCGGGGAGGCACAGCCCCTCTGTCCAGGAGGCTGAGTCTTGGCTGAGCCACTCGGACGCTGACGGAAGGCCGTGAGGCCCGGAGCCCCCTGCGCTGAGGTGGCCCTGGCGACTGGCCGCTGTGGCCGCAGGCTGTCTGCCTCTCTCCTCTGGCCCGAGGCCCCAGCCGCCCCGCCCTCTGTGCAGTGCCCCCCACCCCGGCTCGCACACGCCAGGGGCGGCCCGGTGTGCTCTGGGTCGAGTGGGCACCCGGCAGGGCCGCCCGAACTCCAAGGGGGCTTCGGGCGGAGGCAGGTGCGACAGAGGCACCCCTGGGCGGCACCAACCATTGTGCCCGAGTCAGAGCTGGTGGCGGACCTGCTGCAGGAGGAGGCGGGGCCGGGGTGGGGGGCGGAGCTACCTCTGTTCTATGGACACTGCTGGCCTTCCCCGAGGCTCCTGCCTGCTCAGCCCCTGGGGCCCCTGCAGGAGGGCTGGATGGGCAGGGCCTCCTGTGACGGGGTGGGCTCGGGGGACTCTGCTCTGGGAGGAGCGGTTTCGGGGAGCCTGGGCTGGTCCTGCCGCCACTCCTGTCCCGTCTGCGGGCCGGGCACTGCTTTCCCTGGGGAGGGGGCCTCAGCTGAGCTCCATCCCTAACTGCCCTCAGCTCCTGCCCACCCCACACCCAGAGGAGAGTCCTGTTTGGCAGATGCCAGGGAGTCAGGTGAGGGCAGGATCCGTGGGGCGGGGTGGGGCGGGGGCAGGGACGGCTCTGCGGCCTCCTGGGGTGGGAGGGGCAGGCGCTCCTGGGGCTGGTTGATGCCAGACACCCCTGGTCTGGCCCCCACCCACCCGCCCCATCAGCCTGTTAAGGAGGGAGGTGGGGGTGGGGGGAGGTGTCACAGGCCCAGCCCCCTGGGGGAACCAGGTGGAGCCTAGGCCCCGACAGACTCAGCCTGTGGGCTCTGGAGCCCCCAGGAGCCCAGGACGCGGAGGAGCAGCTGCGGCGGCTGCAGGAGGAGCGGACCTGCAAGGTGTGCCTGGACCGAGCCGTGAGCACTGTCTTCGTGCCCTGCGGCCACCTGGTCTGCGCTGCCTGCGCGCCCAGCCTGCGGCTCTGCCCCCTCTGCAGGGCCCCCATCCACAGCTGCGTGCGCACCTTCCTGCCCTAGGCCGGGTGAGTGGCTGGCCTCGGAGCGGGCCCACCGGCAGCCGCAGCCTGGCCTGACATGGGCGTCTCCAGTTCCGGCCTGGGAGATGGCAGAGGGGCCCGGGCAGGGATCCCGAGGGTGCTCTGGCCGCACACCCTGCCGCCCTGACGGGGGCCAGCAGGCGTGGCGGGGGCAGCGAGAGGCGGCCCTGGCAGGTGCCCCAACGGAGCTGACAGCTCAGATTCTGGCTCCGAACCCTCCCCGACGTAGCGCCCGGGGCGGGGGCCGCTGCCACTGTGCCCGGGCACATTAGAGCCCACCGCCAGGGCACGTCTCTGCAGCGCTTGACCTTGTGGTCTCGCACACACTGCCGCCTGTCCCGCTGGGCAAACAGGGCTCTGGCCAGCCCGGGGAGGAGGCTTGTGGGCGGTGCTCCATGCCCTCCAGGCTGGAGAGAAGGGGTGGGGGTGGGGGGGGGGTGCCCACCTTTGATGGTCAGGCTGGCGGAGGGCAGGAGCCTGGCCTGCCCAGGGCTCTCCAAGGTCAGCATGCCCCAAGATGCCCCCAGGAATCTTCCAGGGGTAGAAGGGAGAGAGTGCCCAGGGCAGGGGCGGGCAAGCCGACCCGGGGGATGCTGCAGACTCTCCCCTCTTCTCCCACAGGGGCCCAGGGCGGCTGCCACGTGCTCGGCCAGTCCCACGAACCCTACTGCAGTGGGCCCGCCGAGGACCCCGGGCTGGCGTCCCACACCACAGCCCGCCCGAATCCTGCCCCGCAGCCCGGGGTGGGAGGGGCTCGTGTGTGGGGGCTGGTTTCATCCAAGTCTGGATGCTTCGGAAGAGTCACAATAAAGCGATAGGTGTTCCCTGGCGCTGCCCAGTGGCCTGTGTCCCTGACCCCACGGGCCCACCCCGCTGCCGCCAGCCCCTCCCCCTGCCAGCCCCTCCCCCTGCCAGCCCCTCGCCTCTGCTCTCCGGCAGGGCAGCACCCACACCTCGGCCCTCTCCTGACCATTGCCCATCACAGACGTCCCCTCACGGTGGTGGGGGGGACCCCTTTCCCAGCACCTCCCCCCACCCCCTGGTCTGACCTTTCCAGCGTTTTAAGGGCCCCTGGAAGCTGCGCTGCCAGCCCAAGGCCACTGCTGAGCTCGAACTCATCCACCGGACATCCGCCTCTCAGGGAACGCGGTTTATTAGCCCCTCGGGGCCTTGGGGGCGCTGTGGAGCCATCACAGGTCCAGACGCCTCCTCGCCCTGGAGGCGGAGGGGCCCCCCCACCCGGGGGAGCCCCGGCCAGGTGTGCGTCGTGTGCACAGGAACCTGCCTGTGGGAGTGCACGGGCTCCTGCTCACCGTCCAGGCGGGGCCACACTTTTCTCCGGGAAGTCCTTGAGGCCGGCCCCTTGCCCCGTCCAGCTGTGCGGCCTGCAGGGCACTGAGGGGAGGGCCCCTGGGACCACAGTCCCAGGCCTGGTGTGGACGGCAGATGTGTTCTTTTTTTCTTTTTTTTTTCCTTTAGAAAAAGGAAATTACAAACTCCTTTGGCGTTGCGGCCATCCTGGCCTGGCGCTGGCTTGCTGCTCCTGCTGGTGTCCCACTGCTTGGCCTGGGGCAGGTGGCCAGGCCACCGGCAGGGCCCTTGGGGCAGGGAGTCCTGTGCGTCCCACGGCTGGGCAGCCCCTCACCATCTGCGGCAGCTCAGGGGCTGGAGGCGGGAGCCAGGGTGGGCCCTCCGTCATTTACGCAGGCCGGTGAGGACAAGGACGGGGGGAGGGGGTCAGAGAACCCCCGAGGAGGGACTTCTGGCCGGGGCAGGCCCCTCCCCCACAGGGCAGAGAGTATGGGGGTCTGCCAGGAGGGTCCCCAGGGGGTGGCCGCAGGTGTGGCCCTAAAGGGCAGGTTCGTCTCTGAGGGCGTGGGTGGGACAGAGAAAGGGCGTCTTGCCCGAGCACAGGACCACCAGCCACCAAGTCTGACCCCCGATTTCAGGATGACCCAGGGGGCAGGGCCAGTGGCAAAGGCCGCTTCAGAGAGGGGGCGGCAGGGGCCCCCCCAGAAACCCCGCCCTTCACCAGGGAAGAAGCCTGTTCCTCCAAAAGCAGAAAACCAACACCCCAAACTTCTGCCGAGCTGACACACTGCCCACCTGCTGGGGGTCTCTCAGCGCCCTGGCCCCCGACACTGAGCCAGCGGAGTCCCAAACGCCCACAGACTCCGAGGGGCGTGGACCGAGGGGGTGGGGGACCAAGGCCAGACCCTCTGCACCCCTGGCCTGGAGATGCACGCAGTCGGCCTCAGAACAGTGCGGGACGGATGGAGGACGGACGGACAGACGGACAGGCAGGGGGATGCCGGCTGTGCCGACCCCAAGGGCCAGACCCCGCAGGGGCGGGCTGCGCCGGCCATGCTTACAGGTGTGCCTGCTTGAACCAGAGGCCGGAGGGCTTTTCAGTGGCAGGGTGGAGAGGACACGGGTCGAGGCCACCAATGAAGTCACCTGAAAGAAATGGAGACCCACAGGCAGCGAAACCCGGGCAACGAGGAGGGCGGGAGGCAGGACACGCCCAGCGCAGGGACGGCGGGAGGCGGTGGGCGGGGCCCTGGGGAGGGCCGCCCGCCCGGAGGCGGAGCACAGGACTCTGGGGGCGAAACGTCTCCCTGGGCACTGGCCAACCAGCCTGGAACGTGGCCCGGGGGCCCTGGGGCCTTGGACTCCAGGGGTTGGGGACCTGCCACCGTGCCATCGAGCGGGGGGCAGGGGCTTTCTGGGCACAACCACCCCAGTTCCGAGCCACGGGGCTGGCTCCCGCCCCAGTGCGTTCAAAGGTGACCTGCAGGGAAGCCTTTTACCCCCCTGCCGGCGGCAGCCTGGGCCTGGCTGGGTGCTCGCGCAGAGAGCTGTTGGGAGCTGGTCGGGTGGACGGGTGGGCCGCCCACCCCACGGCCCCCGACTCCGGGGACAGAGGCTCTGAGTTCTGACCCCGACCCCAGGAAAGGGCCTGCCCACGGAAGCAGGGCCCCCTGGGGTGCCCAGCCTCCGCCACCAACCCCAGCTTTGCCCTTCTCTGCAGGGTTCTCCCACGAGAGCCTGTCAGAGCCCGGGTGGCTGGGGCCTGCGGGGGGCTGGGAGTGTCGATGCTGCTGCGAATCAGAGGAGAGCGGAAGGGGGCCACTCTGGGGGCACAGGGGAAACGCTGCCCAGGGGGTCCAGGCCAGTCCCAGGGGCCTGGGAGACTCCCGGCCAGCAGGACCCTGTTCTCAGCTGCCAGCAGGTAGAGTGGCCCGTCCCCCCCGGGTCTGAGGGCTCAGCCCCACCTGCAGCAGCGGTGGGGTCGTGTGGGGCACAGGAGCGCCTGCACCTGCAGGTCTCGGGGTGACGGGGTGAGCTGACCCCCGGTGCCCACAACCTGGGACTTCCCCTCACCTCCTCTCAGGTGGCTGGATGACCCCCCTCCTCGCTCAGGCAGGCACCCCCCCTCCACTGGGCGTGGGGCCCACGCGGGAGAGGGGGGCAGGAGACACCGCCGCCGCGGCCAGCCCTCTGCGGTCCTCCCTGCCCCCCCAGCGGCCAGAGCCCGCCGGCCGCGCACTCACAGCGGTCGTCCTCCTCGGTGAGAACGCTGACCACGTGGCGGGCGGCGACGAAGCCCACCAGCTGAGGGACGCGGAGAGAGGGGCCGGGGTGAGGGTGCGGGCGGTACGCGGGAGCATCGCCTCGGGCCAGGGGCCTGCCTGCCAGACTGCGGGGGCCGGCGGGGGGCGGGGGTGCCTTCCGCACGGGAAGGAGCCGGGCCGGCAGCTGGCCGTGGTTCTGAAAACGCATGTTGTTCTTCCTCGGGCTCAGGTCCCCAGCCCCTGCGGGTCCAGTCTCTGGGCTCCCGCCCCAGCCCCTCCCCAAAGCTGTCCCGAGGCCGCCTGCAGGACCTGCAGCCCTGGACCCCACAGCAGCAGCAGCGGCAGCAGCAGCGCCCTGGCCCCTCTGGCTGGTTTGAATTCCTTCCTGGCAGGACGGCAGGGGGCCACCCCGGGGCCCGCTTCTCCTGGGCCCCGCCCAAAGCAAACAGCAAGGGCAGGCCGTGTGCGCGAGGCCACAGATGCACCCCTGAGCTCCGCAGGGCCCCCGGCGGCCCCCGCCCCCCACAGGACGGCACTTCTCTCGGCTGGGGCTGCCGGGAAGGTGCAGAGCGCCCCCGTCAGGTCTGACGGCAGATACGGACGGAACAGGGGTTTCTGGTGTGTCTGCTTTTGGTTTTCAGTGAGTGTGTCCCACACACGGACTGGAGCACACTCACACGCACACTTGCCTGTTGTTCCTCTGAAACTCAAATTTAACAGAAAGGCCTGTACTTTTGGAAAGGTGTCATTCATTTATGTTTAGAGAGAGGGGAAGGGAGGGAGAGAAAGAGAGAAATGGCCATCGGTTGCCTCTTGTACACGCCCCGCCGGGGAACCAGTGACCTTCCGCTTTGTGGGGTGACGCTCCCCCCACTGAACTCACGCTGCTCGGGACCCGCATTCTTCTTCACGGCCTGCAGTCCCTCCCTCAGCAGCTCAGCGCCCAGGAGCAGAAAGCAGCCACCAGGGGCGGCTGGGCTGGGTCTCTACCTCCCCCTCCAGGCCCCAGGACCCAGTGGCCAGGAAACGGGACCCTTGGCTGGCCGGGGTGGAGCTCTCGGGGTTCCTCCCCCGCCCACACTGCCCCCAGAGCTGGGAGGGGACAGACAGCAGGAGGCCCCAGTGCCCAGCCCCACAGTTCCCTCCTGGTTCCTCCTCGTACTGCCCCTGGGGGCACAGCTGGCCCTGAGCCCCTTTCTCAGCGCAGGATGCTCAGGCCCCACAGGTGAGGACAGGGTGAGTCCTTCACCCCTCGGGCAGGGGTGGGGGCAAGGAAGGGCATCCTGCCCTGGCAAGGGAGGCCTGGCGTGCCGTCCCCGGTGTGCCCCCAGCTGACGAGTCCCCACTCCACACTCACCGCCTCCAGTGTCTGCAGGGTGCTGCGCAGAGCCCCCACGTAGCCGTGCTCCAGGGCGCAGCCGACGCCCGGCCCCAGGGCCTGGCCGCCGGGGGGGCCCAAGCCTGCCGCAGGCCCCTCCTGCTGACCGCCAGGGCCATGCTCCCGCCACCAGGAGCGGTGTCTGGAGAGGTCGAAGGTCAGGAGCTCACGGTCCTGGGGGCGAGGGGGTGGGGCCAGGTTAGCGCCAGCCGCACCACCAGCCTCCACCCTGGGCTCCAGCCGCGGGCTCACGGGCACAGGAGCCGGCCCAGCTGCTCCCCGCCTGGCACCTGGACTGGAACCCCGCCCCGCTCCTGGCTCTCACGACCTCTCTCGGGGCTTCCTGCGAGGATGCCACCGAGCGCTGCGTGCCCAGTGCCCGAAGTGGCTGCCCAGACGGGGTCTGTTCGCCAAGGGTGCTCCTTGGGGCCGGACGCAGCCCCGCCCCACCCAAAGGGAGGGGCCCATGGCTTCCCCAGGGTTCGAGGGGGCGGAGCGGCCCGGAGGACAGACAGAGCTCCGTCAGGCCCAGGCCGGGCCACGCGAGGTGGTGCTCCAACCCGCACGCCTCCGCCAGGGCTAGTCTCTGCACTCCCGGCCCCCAGCCCTGGCGCCCCTTTCGGGAGCTGCCCCGGTCCTGAGGCCCCCTCCTCCAGGAAGCCTTCCCTGGTGCATCTTTCCCCAGCTGGAGGTCACGAGTCCACCAATGTCCACAGCCCCCCGCTCCACCCATAGGACCACTTGTCTCCCCTCAGACCTCCACCGAGTCAGTGCGGGGGGCCAGGCCTGTCCCAGGGGCCGGGGCAGGGCCCTGAGCAGCCCCCACCCGCCTCTGTGTGTCGGGGGGGGGGACAGATGACTAACTCCCGCAGTGTCCTCTCCGTTTGCACGTGTCTCTGACTTGACTCACCTTGGAGAGGCCCCGCACCTCCAGGTAGAAACAGGTAATGAAAACATTCCAGGTGACCCAGACGGCCGCCCACACAGCATACTGGGGAGAATGGGGAGGGGGGATAGACGAATGGACTTGGACTCGGACTCGGAGGGAGGGGTGGGGGGAACCTAGCTCTTCAAGGGGAGGGGCCCACCGTGTTTTTGCCCTTGGAGGAGAGTCTTCGAAGCTTCTTTGGGGGCAGGGACTCTGCTCCCGCGTCCCTGCCACAGAGCCTTCCCGTGGCCACAGGGTGCCTGCTCCCCCGGGGGGAGGGGCACCACTGGGAAGAGCCAGCTGTGCCGGGCCCCTCCCTTGCTCTGTGTCCTGGCCCAGAAATGCCAGTGGCTTCTCGAGGTGGACTGCGGCAGCCAAGGGCCTGAGCAGCCTGAACTGCAAAGGCCCCCAAGCCCCCCACCCCCAAAAGAATGCTCTGGGCAGCTGCCTGCACAGGTGAGGCCGGGCCGGCACCCACGGCGGCTGTACAGTCTGACCCGGGGCTCAGCCACGCCGCCCCGTCCACTGTGCTCAGGGCGGCCTCTGGGCCGGGGCCGCAGCGGTGGCCCACGGGCTGGAACGCCTGCCCGGGCCCCCTGCGGGAAGGCCTGCCGCACGCCCCGGCCTGCAGACCCGTGGTCTCGGCCTGCGCTTGGGACGGCTGCGCTGACCAGGGCGGAGCTGGTTTGGGGCCGGAGGGCGAGTGCAGGGGCCTGGGCTGGGGCACTCGGGGTGCGGCCCCCCGCCCCCCTGCTCTGTGCCTCGGTGGCTGGGTTAGAACGGCAGCCCATGGGGGGTCTGGGAAAAAGGTGCTCGGCTCAAGCCCTGGCCTTTCCGGGTGTCCTGCTGGCTTCCCGGACAGTAGGCCACTGGACAGCCCCCGTGGGGGTCGTCCAGCCAAGCCCCTTGGGCAGGGGGACCAGAGCATGGTGGACTCACCACCACGATGCAGCGCGGCTGATACTGGACGGCGCCCGAGAGCCCCAGGAGGACCAGGACGACATGGACGGAGGTGGCCAGGACGGGTGCCCACTGGTGGCCCAGGAGGTCAAACACCTGCCGCTCCAGGGCGGTGACCTGGGGCAGGGCGGCCGCGTGAGGGGCCTTGGACGCCAGGGAGGCCCCAGCTGCCCCCCCCATCCCCCCACTCCAGCACAGGCAGTGGGCCCGGCTCTCCCAACAGAGCCCCCTCTGTGAGCCCCCGGCTTAGCTCGAAAACGCTTCCCGGGGTAACCCTTCTCTCTGGAAAGGCCCCCCCACCCCCCTTTAGTTTCTGCATCTGGGGAATGGGAGCTCCACCCAGGGCTGCCCTGACTCACGGGGTTGGGGGGACGGGACCTGGGGGCTGAGAGCCGGGGGTCTCTTCAGCCACTCCGCAGTTCCTGGGTTCTTGTGCTTCGGGGACAGTGAGCGGGGTGGGGGGTGGGGGTTGGGTAAGGCAGCTTCTCCACTGGGAGGCCGGTCCCGCCCTCCAGCTCCATGGCCAGCAGCCCCGCAGGCACGGCGGACAGGGGCATGTCCTACACGCAGGGAAACCGACAGGCTGGGGGCTGGGTCAGGACTCCCCAGAGCACTCATTCATTCATTCGTTCACTCGTTCGTTCACTCATTCGTTTGTTCATTCATTCACTCATTCACTCCTTGTTCACTCATTCACTCATCCATCCACTCATTCATTCATTCACCCACTCATTCATTCACCCACCCACTCATTCACTAGTTCGTTCGTTCATTCACTCATGCATTCGCTCATTCATTCATTCACTCATTCATTCCTCTGTTCACTCATTCATTCCTCCGTTCACTCATTCATTCCTCCACTCATTCATTCATCCATTCATTCATTCATGCATCTGTTCATTCACTCATCCATTCGCTCATTCATTCACTCATCCATTCGCTCATTCATTCATTTGTTCATTCATTCACCCATTCATTCATTCACTCGTTCGTCTGTTCATTCACTCATCCATTCATTCATTCACTCGTTCATTCATCCACTCGTTTGTTCATTCATTCGTCCACTCATTCATTCATTGTTTGTTCGCTCATTCGTTTGTTCATTCATTCACTCATTCATTCATTTGTTCATTCATCCATACACTCATCCATCCATACACTCATTCATCCATACACTCATCCATCCATACACTCATCCGTTCGTTCATTCACTCATCCGTTCGTTCATTCACTCATCCGTTCGTTCATTCACTCGTTCACTCACTCATTCACTCGTTCACTCACTCATTCATTTGTTCGTTCGTTCATCCACTCATCATGCCTGCCAGCCAGGCCCACACGTGTGCTGGTGTTGAGGAGACACTGGGAGGAAGGGCAGCTGAACCCTCCGCATCTGGCGGGGGGGGGGGTGGGGTCGGGGGGCACCGGCTGGATCCTGGGAGGACGGCAACCGAGAAGGGATGGCACCCCGGCAGGGCCTGCCGCTGCACGTCACGGTTCTGCTGCGGCCCCCTGTGCACCCTGGCCGCCCTCGGCCCCGGGGGAGCAGCAGAGGCCTGTCCCTGACTCTGAGGGCCTTTGGCCGAGTGGGCTGTGGGTGTGGCTCTGGGATGGGGGGTGGGGGAGGAGGGGAGGGGAGGCTCTGCAAGCAGCACCGTGACTGGGGACAGAGCCAGCAGGGCGAGCCTTCATGGGTCTGCCGGGGGTCACGGGGCCAAAGACGCCCGACCCCGGCCGAGCACTTGGCCCCTCTCCATCCCAGCCGTGACCCACTGCTCCGGCCTGTGTCCTGGACCCCTCAGGGGACCCTGACCAGCCCAGAAATGGCCACTGCGGGCATGTCCTGGGCACAGTCCAGTCCCTCTGGATGGCCCCGAGGCGGGGGTGGTGGCTATTTCCAGGGGGACATTCCAAGCATGTCCTTTGTGGGGGCTGGGGGCAGCCCTAGGAGCCAGCTGGGGGTGGGGAGCCAGAGCAGGACCACACGCAGAGCCTGAGAAAACTCCCAGGGGACGTGCCCCCCAGGCACACACGCCCCTCCGCCCCCAGCCCCGTTCCCTCAGGCCACAGCCTGCCCCACCCCAGGCCTGCCATGGGGGCTCCGGACGAGGGCCCCCGAGTCTGGGTGACGGAGGCCGGGAGGTGCTGGCCGGTCCCCTCCCGAGAGGCCCGAGTGAAGCCCACAGTCTTGGAGGATCGCCGGGGTGGGGGATGGGCCGAGGTCACTCCCGGCTGTCTGAGCTCTGCTCGACCTTCGCCCCTCACACCCAGTGCCCGGCACACAGTGGACCCGTGGCCTGGACTGGACGGGAATCGTGCGTGTCCTGCTGATGGCGCTCGGGTCTGGGGGGCAGTCCCAGGGCCTCTCCCGGAAGGGACCCCGCAGCCGGGCAGGGTGGCCAGCAGGCAGAGGCCGGAGGGCAGGGACAGAAGTCTTTTTTGTCTTTTCGTTTCTAAGCCCAGACGCCGGAAGGCCACATTGCGAGCAAGGGAGGTGGGGGGGGACGAGCACTGCCCGCTGCCCAGCCCCTTGCTGGGCCTCGCCGCCCTCTCGTCACCGCGGTGGGCCGCAGCCTGGGAAGCGGCCCCACCGCCCCACCGCCCCACCGCCCCACCAGCTCAGAGTGGCGGGGTTCACGGCATTCTTCCGGGAGGGGGCTCTGGGGAGGCGTGCTCTCCCGGCCTTTGTCCGGCCGCCGGGTAACCAGGAGACTCTCACGCTTGTCAAGACTAGCAAGAGGAGAAAAGCCACAGGACCGCCCCCTCGGCCTCCGCCGCTGACCCCTACCCCACACACAGCGGCCAGAGCTGCCTTGGGCTCCTCCTCCGCCACGCCCTCCCCACCGGCCAGGGACAAAAGGCTCCTCACAGGCCCGCGCTGCATTCCAGCTGGCCTCATGGGGACCCAGCGCTGGGCCCTTGGGCCCGCCTGGCTGAGACTAGGAGTCTGCCCGGGGCCCCCCAGTCCAGGGAGACCCTGCCGCCCTCACGCCAAGATACTTCTGTCCTCCGAAGCTGCACCTGAGTTTTCAAGGGCCTGCAGGGACGCCCCTCTGCCCACTGCCCACTGTCCACTGCAGGAGTTAAACAGGCAGCATGGCCCGTCCCGACCCCTCCCAGCCCGAGGTCACACCCGCCCCCAGTGCCTGTTTCTACGGCCCGCAGGCCACATTCCACCCCTGCAGGCAATCAAGTCACAGCTGCCCAAACCCGCGCTGCTTCCTGCCCTCTGGTCAGTGGCCCGGCTCCGGGCTGCCCTTCCCCCGCTACCCCGTTCTCCCTTCCCCATCCCGGCTTCCTGACCCCACCCTGGGGCCCTCCAGAGGGGTTCCTGCCCCACCCCACCCCCCACCACAGAGCTTCCCGTGGAAAGGCATAGAGGGGCACCACTCCTGTCCCCGGGGCTGGCAAGGGCCCCACTGCCCGCAGGACGGTCCTGGGCTTCAAAGCCTTCTGCAGGGCCGGGCTCTCTCCCGGCCTCATGAGCTCCAGCCCTGTGGGCAGGTCCCCCACCCCCCCCGGGCTCCCCCTGCACCCCTCCCCCATCCTCTGACTCCGCTCCTTCAGGGTCCCGCAGCCCTGAGCGCCCCACAGGCAGGCAGCCTCCTCCAGGCGGGACATGCAGGCTGGACGGTGCCTCTCAGCTCCGCGCCGGCTGGGCCAGCACGCCCTGCCCCAGGCCAAGGACAGGACACCAGCCCTGCACAGCGCTGGGTGCGGGGGACCGTCTAGTCCCCCGAAACTGCCGAGCTGTGCCCATCCGAGCGACAGCATGCCCGGCGCGGCCTCGGCGACTCCCAGCTCTGGGAGAGGCCCGCCCCGGCACCCGGATCTGCAAGGGCAGACTGGAAACTTGGCTGACCCAGGGTCAAGCTCTCCACAAAGCTGCATCCAGGGGTCCCAGCTAATCTCGGACACAAACGACATCTAAGTGCAGCCCCGGGCACCGGCTCCAACGCCCTGTCCGCTCCGCGTCCACCCGGCTCCCCTCCTGGAGCAGCGAGGGGCCGCCGCCTCCACCCTGGGAGGCGCCCGGGTTGGGCCGGGATCGGCTCGCACTCCCAAACTCACAAGCGCCCCCCACCCAACGGGCTGCCAGGCCTCGGGAACGGAACTCGGCCCCTCACTGGGGCCCGCCACTGGCTTCCGGAAGGGAACACTTGCTCAGCCGGGCACCTCCTCGGAGCCACACACGCCTTAGGACACGCGTGGACCGTGCGCGCAGCGGCGTTCCCTCCCGCCGCCCACCCCGAGCGCACCGCCTCGCGCACCGGGCGCGTTGAGTCCCCAGCCCGGGGCTCGGGCGAGAGCGGGGTCCAGGCGCCCCGCCCGAAGGCTTTGGTCTTGCACCGGCCCCTTCCCTCTGCACCCCCGCACCTGTCCGCGCCGGGATCCCGCGGCTGCCCCCTCCCCCGCCCCGCGCGCACACACAGCGGGGCGCACCGGGTGGGACGAAGGGGCCGAAGAGGTCGCGCACAAGGCGCTGGCTTCCCAAGCCCCTCGCCGCGCCCCGGAGCAGCGGAGAACTTGGGCCGCAGAAGCCCGCGGGTCCGAGCCGTCGCTAACCCGGAGCCCCACAGGCCGGCGCGGACGCGGCGGCGGGGCTGGGGGCGGTGACCGCACCCGTTTCCCCCTGTGCGCAGGGGCTGCGGGGCCCGAGGAGGGGTCGCCACTCACCAGCTGGAAAGTGCGGAGGAAGATGGGCGTGCAGCGGCCAGAACAGCAGCCCACGGGGCCGGCGCGGCCCGCAGGCGCCGTCTCCACCGTCCGGACTCCGCGCCAGAGCGCTGGAAGCCCGGCGCCGTGGCCCGCGGCTCTCCGAGCCCCGCCCCCGCCCCTGCCTGAGCCCCCACAGTCCCGGGCCCCTCCCGGGCCCGCTATCCGAGGCCTCCCGCAATCTTTGGCCGCACCTCGGGGCGACCCCCAACCCCGATTCAGACTCGCCACCGCCGCCGCCCGGGTCCCACCCCGCAGCGGTTCCCAGGGACGCCCTCCCCGCCGCTGGCCTGTCCCGGCCCGGCCCCTTCCTGCAGCCCTGGTCTCGGCCCAGCTCCGCCCCCTCGAGTAACAGCTGCGCCTGGTCTCTCTCTCCTCGCCCCCAACTTGTAGCCTCCGGGGTCTTTGCGCCAGCTGGGGAGGGGGGCCGGGACCCCTTCTTAAAGGGGAGATGGCGCGGCTCCTCTGGCGGCTGGAGCGCAGACGCGCGGCTGCTTCAAGCCCGTCTCCCAGGATAACCAGCGACGCCCCTCCGCCAGGAACCCTCCTGAGGGCTCCTCCCCAGTCTCGGTGTGCCCCGCCCTCCCAATCACCCTCCATCCTAGCGGGGGCCCAGGCTTCCCGACCCCACCGTGCCCTGGACCTGAGCCAGGGGCTCAGAGGTCCCCCTCCTGGGGGTGAGGGCTCAGGAATGGGAGGGGCCGCCCCAGGGGCCCAGGGGTTGCAGGGGATCGGCCTTCCAGCTCTGCTCCGAGTGCGGCTGGGCGGCGGGGGGACTGGGCTTGCAGGCAGCCTGGGGGCTGGGGCCCTGTGTGTGGGGGGGGCCCACTCAGCGGGACCAAGGGGTGGAGGGGGTCCAAGCTCTGTGGGGCAGATGGCCAAGGGAGGCAGGCTGGGTTGGGTGTGGAAGCTTTGCTGGGAGGCTGGGTTAGCAGAACCCGCGGGCGGGCGGGGGGGGGGGGGTGAGCTGTGGTCACGCCCGTCCTCAAGGGGGTGCGGGAACCTCGTGCTGGGAGGCAGGAGATGGTCCTGGTCAGGCCCCAGAGGGGAGGGGGACCTGGACGGAGGGACACCTGGCTGGGGGGCGGGAAGGTCGGCACCGGGGGAGGGGCAAGGGCGGTGCTTGCCGTCAGCGTGGGCTGTTGCTCTTGGCTCTGGTGGCCCAGGGCCGTGGGTCCTTCCGGCCACAGCCCCAGGGTCGGAGCCGTCCGGGCTGGCAATCTGAGACGCCAGCCCAGTCTCAACAGCTCTTAGTCCTGACTCCTCAGCCGGTGGGACAAGTGCCATCCAGCACAGCTGCCCGTCCTGGGTGTGTCCCGGCTGTGCCGGGGGCAGAATGACAGTGGAGAGTTTCGGGGGCAGTTGCACGTCTCTGGGACACGCAGCCTCTGGAAGCAGCGAGGCCACGTGCCCCGACATTCCTTCTGTTGCCTTCCGCCCTGGCCCCAGCTCTTCCCGAGCACCAGGCAGAGGTAGCTAGCGGCTGGGGGTCAGGTGGGGCCGAGGCCCAGCAGGCCGAGGCCAGAAGCGGGCGCCCGGCCAGGCAGACCCGAACCAGCCCCAGGCTTCTCTCTCCAGGTGAGGAGACGGCTGTTTCGGGGAGGGCCTGGGGCGGAAGGCGGTCAGCAGAAGCTGGTCCTCAGGAGCGGTGCAGGCCGTCCTGCACAGGACACGTGTGCTTGCCCCCCTCCCCCCAGGAAATGAAAACAAGGCCGGCGAGGACGACCTCTGGCCTCTGGCAAGACGGCCGGCTGGGTGATGCCCGGCCAGCGAGAGGCCGCAGGCGCAGCTCTGCGAGTGAGGAGCCATTTGACCACACTGGTCCGAAATGACCCAGGACGCCCCCTTCCAGAGCTCTACGCCAGGACACACTCGGGTGCAGGAGCCGCTGCGCACACAGCACAGCCCCGGGGAGGCGAGGTGGCAGTGCGGACCACGGAACCCCGGGCTGCAGCGGGGGCCCGTCACAGACACTGGGGTCCGCACGGGCACCCCGGAGAGGGAGGTTTTGCCAAGAAGACTGGCAGGAAACGTGCCCGCCAGGCAAGGCGCTGGGCGTGGGGGGAGCATGACACCTTTGGGAAAACCGGTCTGGGCAGGTCTGGCCCCGTGTGGCCCCAGCTGTTTCCTTGGGCTCTGCCACCCCTGCCAGAGCCAGCCGACCCCCCCACCCAGCTGACCAGGCCAGGGGCCCACTGACAGCCAGTGCTCACAGCCCCGTGGCCAGGCTCTCCGTGACCTGCATGTGTTTGGGACGAAACCGCTGCGGTCCTGCCCTGAGCCCGGCCCCCGGTGTCCCGATCAGAGGCTCCGCTCCACACACCCTCCTCTCGCTCTGGGGACGGCTATGGCCTCAGTGTCTTCAGCTGGACAGGGGTTCGTCTCAGCACGCAGGGCTGCTGCTCAGTTTAAACGGTGCGTCTTTAATCAGGCCGGGGCCTGGCTGCCGGCAGGCGCTCGGAGTGTGGGCCCCTGGCCGGGAAGGGGGATCGGAGACCTCCTTTCCCAGATGGGGAAACCGAGTCGGGGACGAAACAGAGATTTTCCCCAGGCCCCACAGCAACTCCACAGACCTGAGCTGCTGCCTGGCATGTGGGGGCTCCCCTCCCGCTCCCCGCCTTCCATGCCCCCCCCCCATGCCTGAGCCCCAGCTCTGCGCAGCCGTTGATTCCAAGGCGTCGGTGTCGCCGTCCTTGCACTCCCTTCAGTTGGACCCACGTGGAGGACCCTGAGAGCCCCGGGGAGGGGCCGCAGCGACCGTCACAGTGCTGTGACCAAAAACCGGCGGGGGCTGGCGTCCAAGAGGCACCGCCTGCACGTTTCGGACAGAGGAAGAAAGGCGTGTGGGCTGCCACCACTGCCGGGCGCCCTGCCCCCACTCTGTGCTCCATCACCCACAGTGCCCTCGTCGGCGAGCGTCTCACCTTCTCCAGGACACTGTCCTCGTCACCGTGACCGTCCCTGGGATCGCAGGGAGAGGCAGAGGCCGTGAAGCGACAGGCTTGGCCCGTCCTGGGTAGGGCCACCCCTCCAGCCATGGGGACTTGAGCCTGGCTCTGGGGTGCACGTGGCCTCAGACCTCTCTCCAGAGATACCTTCCCTTTCCCTCCCTTTCTCTTCAGTGGCTCCTCCTCCTGGCCCACCTCCTCCAGGAAGCCCATGGTGACTGATCCAGCACCTGCCTGTCACTCTCTGAACCCGCAGAGCCCACACAGGCCCAACCACAGGATCTGAAATCTACAGCCTCACGCTACCACCTGCGTAGACCCCACCGGTGTCTCGTCCACATCGCTGCAGCCCTCCCCAGTTCTTTTAATGCCACCGGCTTCTTACTGGAGGAGCCGGCGACTCCTCCTATGGGCAGCCCTGCTTGGTGGGGGGGAGGTGCTTGTGCCCAGCTGGGCACAGCGCAGCCTGGAAATGCCAGTTAAGGCAAGCACCCAGCTCTGCTTGACCAGTGATGCAGGGAAAGGCAAATTAAACTGCAATGAGATACCACTTTGTACCCACCGGAACGGCTGCAATGAAGAGACCGACAACACCAAGTGTTGGCAAAGATGTGGAGCAACTAGAACTCCCAGGTCGCCGGGGGAAGTATACACGGTACGACCACATCAGAAGACTGCCCCCTTTTTATAAAGTTCAACTTACACCAACTCCAGCACCCAAGGATTTTACTCCTAAGTCATCCGGCAAGAGAAATAAAACCTGTGCCCACAAAGAGACCTGCGCGTGACTCTCAGCTTTATTTGGCATCGTTACAGCTTAGAGCGATTCCGGTGCCCACATGTGAATGGACGGTGTGGCATATCCGTCGAAGGGAACACTGTTCAGCACAGAAAGGAGTGGGGGGGCCTGATTCACGGACAACACAGAGGAAGAAACACAATGCTCAGCGGAAGTCACCCCCCAAAGGTCACATCTTGCACGATTCCACTTACAGGCAACACCTAGAAGAGATACACACAGTCAGGTGGATGGGTCTTAAAACACATGGGTCTTAAAAACATGGTTTTAAGTCCCTGCTGCGTGAGCCCTGGCTGGTGTGGCTCAATTGAGTGCGGGCAGAGAATCAAAGGGTCGCCAGTTCTATTCCCAGCCAGGGCACATGCCTGGGTTGCAGGCCAGGTTTCCAGTGGGGGGCCACATGAGAGACAACCACACATTGATGTTTCTCTTCCTCTCTTTCTCCCTCCCTCCTCCTCTCTAAAAATAAATAAATAAAATCTTTAAAAAGTATCGGCTGCATGATTCTGTCTCTGGGACGGCCTAGACCAGACACAACTGAGGCCCGAGGACAGAAGGGAGCACAGTGCTGCCTCTGGTGGAGAGTGCCGTGGGGCGCGCCATCTCACTGAGTACAAGTCAGACCTCAGGGAGACGTCCGCACGTGATGGTCCCAAAAGATGCAAAGATCGGCGAAAGCACGTGGAGCGCACAGAAAAGCACAACATTAAAAAAAACGGAACCAAGTGTCCCTTGCAGCTGCGCCCCCCAGAGGTCGAGGTCGTCACTGTGAACAGTTACCTTTCCACGGTCACAGGGTCACATGCTTGGGCTCCCACTAGGCGCACGGCTTTGCAGCCATCTGGAACCATCCCGGGCTGCAAGTCTGTCCATCCCTCCAGCCGTCCCTCTCTCCACCTGCAGCAATGCGCTCGGCCAACGGGAGGCAAAATCAGACCACAGGGCGGGAGGCCAGACAGGCCAGGTGTGTATACTGGGAGCTCCTCCCGCTCCTCCCCTCGGGCTGGCGATGCCCCAACCACAGGTGACCGCGGCCCTGACGACTCCCCTTCCAGGGCGCGGGAACCTCCCCGCCGCCCCTTTCCTTGCAGCCTCCTCAGTGTTACGGTGGTTCCCCAAACCCGCCACATCTTCCTGGTTAGCCCCCCTGGAACCAGACGGCCCTCGAATCACTCTCGTTCGAGCAGGCCATCAGTTTCTCGTTCAGATCCTGGCGGCGCACGCGGACGCCCTTGGTGTCCGCCTTAGGGACGGCGGGCGGTCCGCGAGCCGTGGCGGGACCGCTGGGGTCCGCAGGGCCGACCAGGACGCGGCGGAGCGGCGCGACGAGGACCGGGAGTCCGGCCCCGGGGCCGTCAGCGCAGGGCCCCCTGTTCCCGCGCGCTCCCCCGCGGGCCCCGGCACCGCCGCCGTGCCCGGGACGCGTCCCCATGGCGACTGTGGCAGGGCGGCGCTTCCGGTCCCAAGGGCAGAGGCAGAAGCCCCGCCCCTGCCAGCAGCTCCCGGCTTCCCGTGATGCCTTGCGAGACGCAACGTTGCCGGAAGCTGGTGGCGGCGGGGTAGGCGGCCGGCGAGAGTCCTCGGTGCAGCTCGCTACGCGGCCGGACCCGGGCCCGGACCCCGCGGACACCGCCCGATCCCGGTGCCAAGGATCGAGCCCGCCCGGTAAGCGCGCGGCCCGAGCCCCGGCGCCTGCCCACGGGGCCCGGCTCGGCGGACGCCCTCGCCGGGACCCCGGACCCCCACCCTTGCCTCTGAAGCTGCCCCCACGCCCGCGCCTCCGCGGTCGCCGCCGCTACGGTCGCCCCCGCTCTGCGCCCCGTCGGCCCGGCCCCTGCCCCCCTCGGACCCAGGGTCTGGCCTGCACACGGCGTCCGGGCCGGCGGAGCCTGAAGCGGCTTCCAGCCCCCCCTCCCCCGCGGGTGTCGGGGGCCCGGCTGGTCTGAAAGGGCAGCCTCGGCCCGCGTCCTGCCCTTCTCCCTCCGTGAGCGGTGGGTGATCGTCCGGGGGCGGGAGGGGAGCAGGGAGAGGACCTTCCGTTTTCTGCCCCGTTTACGTGGACTGACGTGGAAGACGTGGAAGAACGGTGCTCCCCGCCTGGCTGGTTAGCCAGCCTCCTTGCAGACCTCCGATGGGGAGAAGCGCTTGTGCCGGGTCGCGCAGGCCCGGTGGTCCTGCCGCGCTGCTTGTTTGCGGCGGTGCCCCCGGCTGGTGTTGGCGTCCCGACGGACCCTCCCCAGCTCAGAAATAACCTGTGAGAGCTCCGAGCGCTGTTCTTGGACGGAGCCATGGCGGGTGCCTTCTGCCGGTCCCCGGTGTCACAGCCTCGAGGACCAGGTGGGGCCACACGGGCTGCAGCCCGGCAGGTGGCTGTGTGAAGACGGCATCCTCCCTGGGCCCCCAGGTGGCGCCCGGGTGCAGCAGGAGCCCCTCAGTTGCACCCCTCTCGGACTCCAGCGTTAGAGCAGGAGTTCTGGGATGTCTCTCGGGGTGAATCGTAGTTGAGGGGTGAAAGGTGGAGGCGTCTGTACAAAACAGCATCTCAGGGGACTCACAGCCAGAGCCTGTCGCGGAGGGGGTTCCTCCTGCTGCCGAGGGGTTCACCCGTCTCGTCCTCCCCCTGCGGTGGCCATGCAGACGCTGCTTCCACGCTGCTCGATGCAGGGAGAGCGCAGAGCAGGCTCCCCGCAGCTCTGACCCTTGTTGCCCACCGTCCTGTCGGCCAGAACGAGGGACCGGGCACAGCTCTGTGGGAACCTGTGTGGCAGCCCACGTGGGCTCTCCCGTGGCCTCCGCGAGGCCAGGGTCTGCAAAGGGCTTTGTGAATCCAGACCCAGCAGAGCATCTCTCCTCCCCTGTGTTTGCCGGCGTCTGCCGTCCAGGCTGCGGTGAGGCAGCCACCCACAGGGGCCGGGCCTGGGCAGGACTGCGCACCCGCGTGCCTGTCCTCGAGAGCGAGAGCGGGCTGTCTCCAGGGACTGCCCCACGCAGCGCAGACAAGTCCAGGGCAGGGAGGGCCGCAGCGGACTCTGGTGTGTTTCCCTCAGTTGCAGGAAACCGCTTTCATTCTGCTGCATCTGACTCAGAAGTGGGTGCCAGGGGCGGTCAGCATCAGGGCCGCCCAGGCCTAGGAGGGCTGGTGTGTGAGGGTCAGGGCTCCCCTTGGGGAGGGACTTACGTTTAAAGTCGGAATTGGGCAGAGAGCCTTCTGGCCTCATGCTCACCTGCATCTCGGCGTGCAGCGCAGCGCCACGGTGAGCAGGAGCGCGGGTCTGAGCAGCGACCTGGTGGGGGCGTGGGGTGCCCGCAGCCCGCTGGGCCCGTGGCGTCACACTGACCGTCCTCGAGTGCCGTCCACGGGGCGTGTGTGGCCACGTGAGTCAGAGGGGCGCCTCCCAGATCCGCTCACAGTCCAGAGGGGCCATCTGCAGAGGCCGCAGGCCAGGTGGGGGCCGGTGGCAGCAGAGGTGGGTGGGAACCTGGGCCTGACTCCTGGACCCAGAAGCCCTGGGGAAGACTCATGGCGAACACTGTGCTTGGTGTCCACTCCTGCCTCCGGCCTGGGTCCTGTGGTTTTGACTCTTGTGGTCACGGAGTTAGTCAGCGGGCCGCCCGAGGAAGCTGAACTTGGCCAAAGCCAGGACCTCTATAAAGAGATAAAGGGCAGCCCTGGCTGGTGTGGCTCAGTGGATTGAGCTTGGGCTGCGAACCAAAGTGCCGCAGGTTCGATTCCCAGTCAGGGCACATGCCTGGGTTGCAGGCCACGGCCCCCAGCAACCGCACATTGATGTTTCTCTCTCTCTCTTTCTCCCTCCCTTCCCTCTCTGAAAATAAATAAATGAAATCTTTTAAAAATAAAAAAGAAATAAAGGGCGTTTCAGCTGAGCCGTGTGCCCGCTGTTCCCCAGCAGTGTCCTTGTGGGGCATGGTGACAGGTCTGCGCTGTGACCGGCCCCCCGTGGCTGTGCTGTGTCACCTGTGTCTCACGGTGGCATACATCAGTTGAGGCCACCGCCATGCCGCCCCCCCCCAGCCCCAGGCCAGGAGCCTCCCGGTGCCACACTGGGCAGGTGGGGAGAGGACACCCATCTCTGGGGTGTCCCCTTCAGTGGCAGCCTGTGTGCCTCGCAGGGAAGGCCACGATCGGCTGCACCGCCCTGGCCGGGCGCCCAGGCTGCTCTGGGTGCTCCGAGGGGCGGCGGGTTTCCCCGGGGAGAGGTGCCCCACACTCTTGGGGGTGGGGGGGTGCCCTGCTGCTGCTGAGCGTCGCCGTGGAAATGCTCTGAAGCTGGGGTCTGTGGTGTTTGTGGGCCGACCGTGGAGTTTTTCACCAAGTGACCTATGTGCGAGTTTTAAAAGTTTGTTTCTCTCCTTTGCAGCACCATGGCGAGCCCAAGGACCCGGAAAGTTCTCAAGGAAGTCAGGGTGCAGGACGAGAACAACGTGAGCTTGCCTTGCCCTGATGCCGGGCTGGGCTCTCGAACCCGTGGGAAGCGGCTGGTGGCCCCGAGCCCGCCTCCCTGTCACCGTTGGCCTCCCCCCCTCCCCGGCCCCCCGGTCTCGGGCTGCCCACCGGGGGTTTGGGGTCCCCGGGCCCTGCCCGCAGCCGCCTGGGTAAGTTGCGCGTGGCCGTCTCCGCAGGTGTGCTTCGAGTGTGGCGCCTTCAACCCGCAGTGGGCGAGCGTGACCTACGGCATCTGGATCTGCCTCGAGTGCTCCGGCAAGCACCGCGGCCTCGGCGTGCACCTCAGGTCAGCGCTGCCCCTCCTGCCGCCAGGGCCAGGGCCAGGGCCCTGCCTGGTGGGGTGGGGGGGGCTCTTGGGTGGGCCCCGGCACCCAAGGACGCGGCCGCCCCTCTGCCCTCAGCTTCGTGCGCTCCGTCACCATGGACAAGTGGAAGGACGCGGAGCTGGAGAAGATGCGAGCTGGCGGCAACGCCAAGTTCAGGCAGTTCCTGGAGTCGCAAGAGGACTACGACCCCTGCTGGTCCCTGCAGGACAAGTACAACAGCAAAGCGGCTGCCCTCTTCCGGGACAAGGTGAGCCCCGTCCGGCCCCCACCAGGGAAGCAGGAGGCCTGTCGTTAGCAGGGGTGGGGGCTGGGCCTCCCCCCCACCCCCGGCCACCTTGGCCAAAATACTCCTGGGGACAGCGGTGCCCAGCAGGGCACCGAGGTGGCCCCCCGCACCTGGGCTTGCAGCCCCCCAGAGAGCCCACTCTGCCTGCAAGTTCCCTGGAGCCAGCCAGCCGCCCCGACAGGCGTGTGTCCCCTCGGCAGGTGGCCACGCTGGCCGAAGGGAGAGAATGGTCCTTGGAGGCGTCGCCCGCGCGGGACTGGACCCCGCCGCAGTCCAGGACGCTGCCCACCGCCGCCCACCGGTAGCGCCCCTCTGGCTGCTGTTCCTGGCCGGCCCTGACCCGAGCTGTGGCCCGGCGCGTCCCGAGGGCAGTGGGAGGGGTGGCTCTCCGGGGTCGCCAGGACGCCATGGCTTCAGCTGCCAGCCAGCGAGGGCGGGCCTGGAGGAGGACCTGCGTCTGCCCACCGCTCGGGCGCCAGCGCGGGGCAGGCCCTGCCGGGACGGGCATGTGGCACACGAGTCCTGTCCCAGGGCCACCCATCCTGTTCCCGGGGCGCAGGCCGCTGGGGGCAAGCTGACCCTCCAACCCTGGGGTGCCCAGGTCTCCCCACCTGCTGCCCCCCGTATTAGGTCCAGGTGGCCCCACAGTCAGGCCACGCTGTCCCCCTGCCGCTTGTCCTCCTGAGCCCCCCTCCAGGTGCAGCAGGGTGGGCCCAGGTGGTCCTGCAGTTCCCCGGGCGGGTGTCTGCTGCCCCCTGGTGGCCGGACTGACGCAGGACTCCGTTTCAGGGCCCCCGGCCAGGCGCAGACCGGCACCGCCTCCGCCGACAAGGCCTTCGAGGACTGGCTGGACGAGGACCTCGGCTCCTACCAGGGGTGAGGCCGGGGCTGGGGCGGGGGGAGCCTGACCCTCGGACACGTTCGGGTCGAGGCCCGGCCGTGGGGGCCCCCTGGCTGGGGCAGTGCAGGGGCCTCCGTGACCCGAGTGGGGGCTGCGTGTCCCCTCCAGGGCCCCGGAGAGCCGCTACGTGGGGTTTGGGAACACGGCGCCGCCCCCGAAGAAGGACGAGGACCTCCTGAGCAGCGCCGTGTCGTCCCTGTGCTCGGTGAGCGCCCCGCCCGGGGCCCCCTTCTCACGGGCTCCGGGGTCTCTCAGGCGCCGCGGGTCCCGCGGAGCGGCCTGCCTGGGCAGCAGGTGCACTTCCGGTCAGCGGGACGCGTGTCCTCCGGAGAACGGGCGTCCGGTGGGCCTGGCGTGGCTGCCTCTCCCCGGGCGGCGTGGGTGGCCCGGCCCGGCCCCACCAGGGTCCACGCTGTTCAGCTGTCCAGCGGGAGACCTCGAGGTCGGGCGGCAGAGGGGATGGCACCCCCAGCCCCGCACGGCCAGACCGTGGTGCTCTGGGGAAACTCACTGGTGTGGAGCACGGCGATGCCGCCCCGGCTGGTGGGCTCGGGGCACTGAGCGCCGGCCTGCGAACCAAAGGGTCGCCGGTTCACTTCCAGGTCGGGGCACATGGCTGGGCTGCGGGCCAGGTCCCCAGCTGTGGGTGCACGAGAGGTGGGCCGTCGACGTTTCTCTTCCTTTGGAAAAAAACAAACGAGTGGCAGTGCTTCCCTTGCAGCCCCCTGAGGGCCTGCCAGGGTGGGGGGAGGCTCCTCCTGAGGGGTGGGGGCTGCGTGAAGGGAGCCGGCGGGGACACGGGTGTCTGAGTGAGGCGGGGTTCACCCGCCGCTCTGCCCGCCCTCTCACGCCAGCTCCGGAGGCGAGCGGACTGCTCAGCAAGGGCCACTCAGGACCACCCCTGCCAGGCGGCCGCGGGGTCTCCGGGCCTGGGAGCAGGCTTGTCTCGGAGCCTGTTGTGCGGAGCGGCTCTGGGCCGAGGTGCCCGCCCCGGGGCGCGGGGCCCGTGTCTGCAGACCTCAGTGCTTGCGGCCGCCCGAGTGGACGAGCGTCCCCGCCTGCACAGGCCTCTGCGTGTCCGCGGGAGCGGGAGGCGCCGGTGCATGTAAAGGGGATGTCAGGTCCCCGGATGGTTCCGTGTGTCCTGGAGGCTCAGGAGGAGCCTGGGCTCAGACGGGAGAGGGCGGGCCGCAGTGGCCCACCTGCCTGGAGTCTGTGCAGAGTGGGCACAGGACTCCTGCCCCTCCTGGCGGGCGGGGGCTCAGGTGGGCCGGTGGTGGCCCCCTGGGGTCTGGGACTGGCCGTGCCTGGGCCCCCGGAGGGAGGGGACGTGCGGCGGGCCAGGCGGCGGCCTCCCGGGCCTGCAGCCTGACGCGGGCTCTGTGTCCTTCCAGGGCTGGAGCAGCTTCGCCACCGGAGCGAGCAGGTTCGCCTTGGCTGCCAAGGAGGGCGTGAGTAGCCTGGCCCCCCGCCACGGGGCCCCGCGGGGCCAGACAGCTCCGCTGGCCTGGAGGGAGGGTCGTCGTGGGTGGGCTGCGGCCAGGGGCTGAGCACCTCCCGGCGGGGACACGTGTGGCCGGGCTTCTCTGTCTCCCCCGTCGCCTCGGTGCTGCCCGGGGTGCGGGCCCCGCCGGCCGCCGGGGTTCGGTGGCGTGGGAGAGCCTGCTGCAGGCGGGCCGGGGGGGCACCCTGCTCCATGGGGCTCTGGGCCCCAGAGAGCAAATAGGAGAGTGGGCCCCAGGGGTTGCCCAGGTGACCCCCAGCCTCCCCTGGGTGGGGGCCAGCTGTCGGGCCCTGAGGGCCACCACGGGGTGAGCTCGGGGCCTCCACGGCGTCGGCTGGTGGGCCCGGGACAGCGTCTGTCCTTTTTCCTTCCAGGCTACGAAGCTGGGGTCCCAGGCGAGTCAGAAGGTAACGGGAGCCTCCTGCGCCCTGTGCTCTGTGAAGCCCCTGTCCCTTCGGGGTCAGGTGCCCTGGTGGCCCTCCCCCGGCCCCGAGCTCAGGGAGGGGCAGTGCCGTGTGTGCTGGGCACTGACAGGCCCGCCTGGGGACCGGTGTCCTGGGCTCACGCCAGGTCCCGGCGGGGTGGGCGTGTGGGGTGAGAGGCTGCACCCGCCTAATTAGGGCCAGTGGGGCTGAAGCCGTCACCCCATCTGTCCCAGTGCAGGTGCTGGGTGGCCGAGGGGCCACTGCAGAGCCTCCTGGTCAGGAAGGAGTAGGCACCCACCCGCGGGCAGCGGAGGCTCGGGGGCCCTGGCGGGGTGGGGGGAGCTTTTACCTGGTCAGGGCCTTCTTTTCCTGGGGCGGGGTCTCCGGCCTCCACCCTTTCTTCTTCAAACCCCAGTTGCGGTGCTGCAGCCCACATGGTACAGGCCCCGGGCTGTCTGGTCCCCCAGGGTTGGAGGTCGGGACTGGGGAGCAGGCGGCGTAGGGCTGTCCCTGCCCGAGGGAGGGGGGGAGGGACAGTCTCCCCTGCCCGCTGGGGCTCCTGTGGGTCTGGGCGTGGCCGGTGGGAGCGGAGCGCAGTCACCTTCCACGGGGGGAGGGGCTGCTTTGAGGTCACTCCGTGGCCCCTCGCGTGGGTGCTGGTGACGCCTTTCGAGGTGCCCCCTGGGGGCGCCTGCGCTGCGCTACCGCCTTGCTCTCTCTCTCTCCTTGCCCCACCCCCATGCTGCCGGGCAAAGTTCTGGGGTTCCAAGCAGCAGCCAGAGCCGGTAAGGCCCTGCGTCCGCCCCCGCATGCCGCCTGGTCTCTGTGCGGGGCTCCGAGCCAACCGCGTGCCCTGCGCTGTCTCCTGTCTGTGCTTCTGTGTGCCCATGCTCAGAGCCTCTCGCGGATGATGGGCTCCTGTCTGGCCCGTGCTCGCTGCTCGGGGACCTGCACGCAGAGGGGTGATGGCCTGGGCGGCATCCCGCTAGGGGAGTGAGATCCTGACTCCCGCCCCGCCCCCGCCCGAGCGGGCCTCGGGTCGGCCGGTTCTGCTCCTTTCTCCGCAGCCAGCTCCCGCATGCCTGCTGCGGGGCTGGTGGGGCCACTCCGCGCTGCTGCGGACGCACCCCAGCACCTCTGGGGGAGCACGTGACTGGCTGTCGGTACACGGCTGCTCCCACTGGGCAGGGCCCACAGGGCTCTGAGGGGAGACCCTGGAGGAGGCGGCCGGGCAGGGGGACCCTCCGCACGACTGCAGAGTGGGGGCAGCGGGCTGGGCCTCACGCGGCCAGGCTGCTGTGAGACTGGGTGCCCTGGGTGCTGGGCGGCTGCCCCCCGCCACTGCGCACACAGCGGGCGGCCGCTGTGCCGACCCTCATCCTGGGGTGCGTGGGGCGCCAGGAGCCCCGCGACGTCCCGCTCATGGCGCCTGTCCTTCACGCAGGCGTCAGAACTGGGCCACAGCTTGAACGAGAACGTCCTCAAACCTGCCCAGGAGAAGGTAACACGCCGCCTCCCAACGCCGGACATCCGGCAGCCCGTCCTCGTCCTCGGGAGGGTGTCGCACCCAGGGCAGGGCGCACGGTGTGCCCCGCCCGGGCCACGTTGTCGGCCCCGCCCCTTGTGGGGCGGGGTCACGGCCGAGCCGCGGGCTGCCCCTGCGCAGCAGCGCAGCAGTGGGCGTGGCTCCCCGGCCAGTGGGCGTGGTGCTCCCGCCCTCTTTAACTAGGCTGTCTGACCCACGCAGGTGAAGGAGGGAAAGATCTTTGATGATGTGTCCACGGGGGTCTCTCAGTTGGCGTCCAAGGTAGGGTGCCCGCCGACGTGCAGGCACCGCTGAGCGTCTCGGCATTCTGGCACCGGGAGCCCAGGGCCGGGCGCACTGGGCCCAGGCGCTGCCGCGCTGGGAGGCGAAAGGAGGGCCGGCGGCCCCTCGGTGCCCTGCCGGCTGCAGGAATGTGCAGACGCTCAGCGGGGTGGCACAGCCTCTAACCTGTCGCTTTTCTTCTGTCCTCTTCTTGCTGCCGCTGACCGTCCCCGGTGAGTGCCGGCCCCCTGGCCTGCGGGGACGCCTGTGTCCGCCTCCCTGCTGGGTGGGTGTGTGCGCGCGCCTGTGGCCCTGCTTCCTGCACCGGCCGGCCAGCTGCCCTTGCTGGCCCGGCACCCGCCGCCAGCAGACCCCGGCTGGGTAAACTGTGGGGAGGGCTGTCGCTGCGTCTCAAGCTCTGCCGGGTCCTTGCGCGGAGGCTGTGGGCGTGCCCCGTGCCCCGGCCCCGCTGAGCCGCACCCCCACCCCCTTCCAGGTTCAGGGAGTCGGCAGCAAGGGATGGCGAGACGTCACCACCTTCTTCTCTGGGAGAGAGGAGGACCCCTCGGACAGGTGGGCCCGGTCCCCGCCCTGACGTGCCACTTTCCCTGCACTTTTCCCACAGGGGCGCTGGAGGCAGTTGTGCTGGGGCCCCGGGAGGGTCCCAGGGCAGGAGCCCCCAGAGGCGCAGAGGCCAGTCTGTGCCTCCACCCTTCACTCAGCACCCTCCCCTTGACCCAGCGGGGTGCTGCTGCCCTGGGCTGGGGGCCTCTCATTCCACCCAAGGGCAGGCGGGGGTGGGGGCAGGCCGGCCGCTGGGTGGCCCCGTCCCCTGTCCCCCGTCCCCGTGCTCACCCATGTGCGGTGCTCTGCTCGAGCGAGTGGGGGCCTTCCTGCTGGAGCCCAGTCTGTTGTCCTTGTCCTCTGACCCACAGGGGTGCTGAGGGTCTGATGGGCGGGCGCTTCTGGCCAGCCCTGGCGGGGGTGTCAGTCCACTCTGGGATGGGATGCATTCCCCTGGGCTGTGGACCGAAGGCCACCCCTCTCTTCCTGATGTGCTGGCCGCAGGCCCTGGGTTTTCTCTGACGCCCCTGGAGACGTCTCTCTGCCGGGGTGGGTGCTGGAGCCCGGGACTGCGGCGCGGAGGCCGTCTGAGTCCCTCCCGTGGGCGGCGCCGGAGCTGCTTCCTCCGCTCCTCCTCCTCCTCCTCCTCCGCTCCGGAGGGAGGGGGAGGGGCCCAGTGGGGCTCGGCGGGGGGGGGGGGGGGGGGTGGGGTGGGGGGGGGGAGTGTTCAGGGGCGGTGCGGAAGGGAGGGGCTCGGGGAATGGCTGCTCAGAGCCGCCCTCTTCCCAAGGCCCCTGGAGGGCCAGAGCTACCAGAACAGCGCCGTGGACCGGAGCTTCTGGGAGACCTTCGGGAGCGCCGACGCGGCCAAGGCCCACAGGTCCCCGAGCAGCGACAGCTGGACGTGCGCGGACGCCTCCGCCGAGAAGCGGAGCTCGGACAGCTGGGACGTGTGGGGCGCGGGCTCCGCGTCCAACCACAGGGGCAGCGACAACAGCGACGGCGCGGAGGGCCCAGCCAAGCCCAGCGGGAGGGCGGCGCCGAGGGCCGCGCCGGTGGACGAGGGCTGGGACAACCAGGACTGGTAGCCGCACGTGTGCGCGTCACTCTCCTCCGCCTCCTTCCCCGCGGCCTGCGGGACGCCTGCTGTGACGTGAAGACAGCGCTGGGCGGGCCCTGCGGCCCGTGCCGCCCGCCCACACGGGGGACTCTGGGCTGGGGGCTTGCCCTGCAGGCCCAGTGTCCGCGGCGGGTGGGGGCGGGGCTGCTGTCCCACCCAGAGTGTCCACTCTCCTGCATTCTCGGCGCCGCTGCTGCGGGAGGCGCCACCCACGCTCCAATAAACACGCCCCCCGCTGCACGGCAGCCCGTGTCCCTGCCGTGACTGCCGCCCTCGCGCTCCCCGCCTTCTGGTGTCCCCTTTCTGTGAAGACGCCGCCCTGTCTTAGGAGACAGGTTCCAAGGACAGCACCAGAGCCCCCCTGTGTCTGCCGTGCCCTCCAGGGGGGGCTCCACCTCACCCCCACCCCCTCCACAGCTGGGTCAGCCCTCTGAGCCTATGGTGGCCCCAGGGTGCCCTGCACAGCTCAGGACGGGGGCTCCAGCGGGGCTTGGGCAGGGAGGCCACAGCGGGGCCTTTGTCTGCAGGGGGACGGGGCGGCCGGGCTGCCCGGGGCTCCTTCAGGGTGAGTGGACGGAAGCTGAATGCGAGACCCCAGACTGAGCCCTGGGCCGGGCCTGCTCTCCAGAGCACTGGGGTGCAGGGGTCTCAGACACCCTCGGGCACGGCACTGACGTCCTTGCTGCTGTGCAGGGCTGAGCGGGGCAGGGCCTGGGGTGCGCCCCTCCCCCCTCCCCCACGGGGCGCTGATGGCACAGCAGAGCCTACAGCCGGCGGACTGGTCGAGGTGAGCCCTGAAGGGGCCACTCCCAGTGTGCCTCGGGGCCCTGGAGGTGCAGGCAGGACGCAGGCCAGTGGGGGCTGGCCCCTGCCCATCTGCCCAGAGCTGTGTCCAAGGCACGGGGCTGGCCAGCAGACTGAGGCCAAGGCCTGCCTCTCTTAACTTCCCCTCCTAGGACCCCCTATGGCCCTCGGTGCCACCCCCTTTGCCCACGCGGGGCCACCTCCCTGCTCAGCCAGGCAGCCCTGCCCGGGGGGCCCCCCGGGACACTCCCTGGACCCCACACCCAAGCCCGGGGAGCAGGGGAATTCTGCTCCCTCAGGTCAGCGTCAGCCCCTGGGGCCACCTCCCGCTGCAGGGGGCTGCGGTGGGCTCTGGGCCCTCACCTGACCGGTTGGGGTGGGGGGACCACCGGGACACAGGCTGCCCTGCCCCTCCCGGCTGCGCCCCTGGCAGGAGTCTCAGGCCTCAGCCTGCTGGGTGCAGGGACTCGGGCAGGTGCAGGTGCAGGGGCGGGCCAGTCCGGCCCGAGGCCCAAGCCCACAGCCTCACGAGCGTGGAGGGAGCGCCACAATGGGCTGTGAGTGAGCGCGCCCACGTGTCCCGAGTGCCCGGGAGCCGTGTGCGGTGACTGGCTGCCTGCCCAGGTGCCCTCTGTGGGTCGCTCCCCAGGGCTGCAGGGCCCCTGGATGGCCCGCATGGGTCCCGGGACTCCTCCCCCAGAGCCCGCAGGGCCCAGCTGGACACCCCAGTTCTCAGGGGGGCGGTGATGGCGGCAGGGGCGGTGATGGCTGGGGAGAAGTGGGGCTCGGCAGGGGCCTCGGGGGGGCTGGGGCAAAGGGCTCAGTGTCTTCTCCCAGGCTTCCCGTGTGTGGGCGGGGAGGGCGGGGAGCCTGCACAGGAAATGGGGGAGGCCCACCCCACCTGTCCAGCCTCCAGCGAATCTCCCTCGGCGATCAGCCTGCAGCAGAGGCTTGCGCCATCTGCCCCCGCCTCCTAGAGCCCCTCTGTCTGCAGAGGCAGGGCCAGAGCGGCCCCTGAGAGCACCCAACAGGCCTGTCACCTACGGTGGCCTTGGTCCCCCTGCCACTCTCTGGGGCCAGCCCCGTGGAGTGAGGGGCAGAGGTGCTGGGTCAGGGCTGTACCCCCACCAAGAGGGGTCCCCGCCCCGCCATGACATGGGGTCCTTCACGCAGGCACGGCTGTGTCCCCCGCTCGCTCTTAGAGGGACCGCCCGGGCAGCTGTCAGGAAGGGTGGAGAGCGGGGGTGGGGAGGAGGCCGAGGGGCGGGCTGGGCAGTGACGCTGCGGGAAGGGGCCTTCATAAGCCCGACCTCCCAGTGGCTGAGGCAGGCCGGACCCCGGTGGGCGTGAGTGGGCTGGTGAGTGGCCTGCGGTCCCGGGGGCTGGGTGGATGCGGAGGCCCTGGGGGTCCACCCAGGGCAGCAGCCTTGACCATTCAGAAAGGCTGGGGGGGTGCCGAGGGCTCTGGGCCCAGGAAAAGTTCCCACTGACTCAGGGGAAGGCAAGGTCCCGCTCCAGAGTGGGGGTCAGGAGGGGCCCCTTCCCCGCCTGAGGAGCCCCAGGGCTGGGCAGAGGGGCGGCATGCCTGTCCTGGCCGCCCCCCTGGGTGAGGCTGGGCTGTGGATGGCCAGGCCTGAGACCCCACGCTGGGTGTCCCTCTGTACCACCAGCAGAGACCTGGAGGTAGCCTGTGGGGGCACCCCCTGAGGGCTCCGAGGACCCCAAGCTACCCGGAGGCTGGTGCGCTGCCCCGGCCCAGAGCACGGCTCCTGCTCCAGCTGGGGTCCTACCCCTGCCCTGCCTCAGTTTCCTCCCTAGGCCGCCTGGCCCTGACGGCGGCCATCCTGGTCCGGTCTCGTGACCAGTGAGGAGCCGCAGCCTCAGTCAGGACGCACGCCGGCCTGTGGACGGGGTCTTGAGGGCGGGACGCAGCCAGGCGGGGACTGAGCCAGCACCTTGGGGGGTGGCTGGCAGGGGGGCAGCTGGCCTCTGCTTTGGGAGGCCCCCACCGGGCCCTGCGGATGCAGCCGGGGCACACAGGGGCGGGCGGCTGTGAGCGAGCATTCGGGGTCTCCACACCTGTCTGTGGACGTCCAGAGTGGGCTCATGCGGGGCGTGGGTGGTGGGGCTCCGGTGTGGCGGTCGGGAGGGGACAGACGGACGGCAGAAGGCTGAGCGGCCTCTCCGCCCGCAGGCCGAGCACCATGGGCGTCCAGGTGCGCCCCCACCTGGGGGTCTGGCTGTGGCTGGGCGCCGTCCTGGGCCTCAGCCGGGGACAAGGTAAGGACACGGGTGGGGACTTGCCGGGGACGGAGCCCTCGCCTGCCCCCGACCCCCACTGTCGCTGTCCCCAGTGGAATCTGTGCCCAGTCGGTATGCAGGGCAGGACATCCCGAGGGCTGGGGTGGGCCCCTCTGCCAGTGCCTGGGCCCCAGCTGGCTGCTTGACCTTCGGCCTCGCAACCTTTCACCTCACTTTGGGGATGCTTCTGTTTCCTGGTTCTTCTTTAATAAGCAGCTATTAGCCCACCCCTCTTCACTCTGTCATGTTAACATTTCATTTTCAAATCTGCCCCGGACACTTTCTGTGTCAAACTTTCAGACACCGTGAGCCTACAGTAAAGGTGACCCCACCCACCCTGACCTCGGGGTGCTGGCTCTCGGCTTCTAGCACCTTCCCGGCCCCTTCGAGGCACACGGGGCGGGGTGCCACGTGCTCCCCAGCCTCGCCCCCAGCCCCCTATGAGGTCGGACGCTCTGCCTGGTTGTGAGCCAGGCGGTGACAGCCGCCTGGGGGGTCCTCCGGTCCCCGTGGTTCTGACAGGACACACCGCGGGTCCCTTGGGTGCAGCCCAGCGACCGAGGACAAGACGCACTCAGGACCGGCCAGCTGGGCGGCCCCGCCCCGAGGAGGCCCGTGGACAGGGTGCCCCAGCGGTCTGCGCCCCCGGTGTGGGGGCCCCGGAAGGCAGCATGGGGTCCCCAGAGGCACGGCGACACACAGAGGGCTCTTCATGAGCCGCAGCCGGGCCCCCTGCGCACAAGTGGCTTTTCAAGGCCCCCACCCCGGGCCAGACATTCCTGTCCATCCGCCCCTCGCTCCCCGGGAGCCGCCGGGGCCCGGCTCCTCTGCCCCGCTCTGAAGCCAGCATTGTGTCTGCCTGGGCGCCCCCAGCCCCCACCCCTCCCCGTGCACCCCAGCCCGCCGTGGGGCAGCCAGAAGAAACCCGTCTCTGTCTCCATTTTCCAAAAATAGCTGCCCCCACCATGGGGCTCCCGGAAGCCTCCCTGGGAGGTCAGGCCCTGCGCTGGGGCTCAGGCCGCTGCTGTCCCCATCCTCCAGTCGGGGACCCCTACTCCTATGGAGCACCCCCACTCCCCACGGCACCCTCACATCCCCGGCATCCCACCCCCGTGGGGCTGCCTGCTGTGACCTTGGCAGCGGGGGCTCAGCCACAGCCACACAGCTGCTCTGCCCACCCCACCCTGCTTCCGACTGGGGCCCTGAAGCCGGAGGCTCCAGCTGGTGGGGCAGCACCTGCGGCTGCTGGCAGGGTGGTCGCCACACCTCCAGGAAGCTGGCTGGGGCCAGGGACACCCCTCAGAGAGCCAGCAGCGGCAGCCCTGGGACCCCTAGGAGAGCCGGGTCCCCCTCCAGCCCTGGGTGGGGCCTCATCTTCTCAAGGTGCCTGCCCGTTGGGCAGGGCCCGGTCCGACCCCCCGGTGGGGCCAAGGCCTCCTCACATCACTCACAGCAGGCACCCTGGCCACCCCCCCGCCCCCACAGCTGCTGGCGCGGTCACTGGCGGTGAGTCCCGACCACCCTGTCCCACCCCCTCAGCAAGCGGCCGCCTGTGGCTGGCGGTGCTGCCCGAAGACCGGCTGCAGATGAAGTGGGCGGAGTCGGAGAGGCCGGGCCTCGGCTACCTGGTGCAGGTGAAGCCCATGGCAGGTACGGGCCTGCGCCTCCCCGTCGCTGTGAGGGTGGCAGCATGCGCGGCCCTCACTGCGCCCCGTTCTGCGTCTCGGCATCCACACGTCTGCGGGATTCTGCCACACCTGCTCTGGGGGTGGAGCGCAGAGCCGGGGAACCACGCGTGTCCCACGCGGGCCGGTGCCCAGCAACGCGGAGGGCTCCAGTCTCCGGCTCTGGCAGAATCCGCGGCTCTCTGCTCCCGCGCAGAGCCCCTGTGGGTTCTGCGTGCGGGCGGCGCGCGCGGAGGGACATCCGGGACCAGAGGGAGGCCCGGGGGTCCTGCCAGGCCCCGCCCGTGCAGGCCTGCCGTGGAGCTCCGCAGC